TATAAAATTTTCCATTATATTTTCGATTTAAACCCCACAAAACTCTAACCTAGCAAGAATATATTTTTTAGATTATAAATTACAAATATAAATAAAAATTTAGTTTAAAAGATTTTTGATTGTGCACATATATTAAAATTACTAAATATATACTTCATTAACATATATTATATTGTAAATTTTATAATAACCCCTTATACGTAAATTTCTGATTCATCCATTATCAAATAAAGGGGAATTTATTAGTCACCTATCATTGAATAAAAGAGAAAATTCTGATTTCCCGTCATTCTTGACGGGCTGTCTAATCCTCAAAAAACATCAATCAAATTTAGCCAATAGTATTCATTTAAAAAATACTCATCCAATAAAAATCATAACATATAAATTAGTTTAGTCAAATATATTTTTGCTATTAAATTATTTAATACTCTATTTCTTTTTTAATTATTGGAAATTCGTCCTACTGAAATTGGGAGTTATTCTTAATTAGATTTACCTAATATTAACACAATTTGAACAATTTAAGTTATGTTAAATTATAAATATATAAATTATTTAGCGCCATCTATCATATTAATATTTATTTTAAATAGCATTATATTTATAAGGGAAAATGTAAATGTTTTAGGTTATAAATTATAAATATAAATGAATAAAAATTTAATATTTTGAAAGTTTTTTATTGTGCACATAAATTAAAATAACTAAATATATACTTTATAAACATATTTTATAAAAATAATGGAAAATTTTAGAGAAACCCTCATCTAAATAAATATAAATTTCTGAATGACATCTCATAAGATAGGAAAATTTCTGGTTCATCCATTGTCAGGTATATTTTGGGGTGGGCTTGGGAAATATTTTTCAAAATTATTAAGGTCTTGGACGCTTGGAAATATTTTAATATATAATATTAGCCATAAGTAATCAGGAATATTTTAACAAAGAATTTTAATATGGGTCTCAAGTATAAGCTAATTTAAATATATTTTGACTTACAAAATATCACTCTTAGTCTTAATGGGTTGGAATCGGCCTGAAGGGGAGTGGGGGTAAAAAGAATAAAAATTCTATATGATTTTTAAATAAAAGGTAACATTTGTCGTAAAAGAACGAAGAAAATATTCCCCGTCATTTTTGACGGGCTATCTACTAGTAGTTAAATATTAACGATTTATATATATTATTTCTTAAATAAATTAGATGAGAAAGACTCGGAAACAGAAGAAGAATATATGTGTAGCCAAGCAAAGAAAAGGATTAAAATATTTAAAAATTTTAATTTACAACGTAAAAAAAACCTAAATGATAAACTAATGAAAAAGGAAATAGAAGAAGGGATTATTAAATCCAAAATCGATAAAAACGCTAAACGTTTAAAATCTATATTAGAATCAGAGGACGAATAATATTTTTAATTTTTTTGATTTTAAAATATTTTTATTCTATTATATGTATTTATAAATTCTATTTATTAAAGATTATATTGATAATATTATCTATATTATCTTATTTTATCTTATCTAGCACGTTGGTCATAGACCTGCCCAAAATGAGCGGACGTGAATTATATGAAGGCCCACCTTCATATCATAAGCCTTTCCTGTCGTACAAAAATAGCTGGTACGGAAAAATAACGAAATCTTAAGAAGAACTCTACCTATCCTGGGTCCTAGAGAGAGCACCGACAGAAAAATTTTCAAATTTATTCTCAGCCTAATTTATATTGACTTGATAAGGCACGAAATTTTTTAAAAGAATTCTATTGGCTAATCTTGTGACACAGCATATTTTAAGCCTTTTATTAATATAGATAATATTATCAATATAATCTTTAATAAATAGAATTTATAAATACATATAATAGAATAAAAATATTTTAAAATCAAAAAAATTAAAAATATTATTCGTCCTCTGATTCTAAAATGGATTTTAAGCGTTTAGCGTTTTTATCGATTTTGGATTTAATAATCCTTTCTTCTATTTCCTTTTTCATTAAGTTTATCATTTAGCTTTCATTTTACGTTGTCAAGTTAAAATTTTTAAACCTTTTAATCTCTTTTTTTGCTTCTCTGCACATATTTTCTTCTTCTGTTTCCGAGTCTGTCTCATCTAATTTATTTAAGAAATAATATATATAAATCGTTAATATTTAACTACTAGTAGATAGCCCGTCAAAAATGACGGGGAATATTTTCTTCGTTCTTTTACGACAAATGTTACCTTTTATTTAAAAATCATATAGAATTTTTATTCTTTTTACCCCCCCCCCCTTCAGGCCGATTCCAACCCATTAAGACTAAGAGTGATATTTTGTAAGTCAAAATATATTTAAATTAGCTTACACTTGAGACCCATATTAAAATTATTTGTTAAAATATTACTGATTACTTATGGCTAATATTATATATTAAAATATTTCCCAAGCCCACCCCAAAATATACCTGATAATGGATGAACCAGAAATTTTCCTATCTTATGAGATGTGATTCAGAAATTTATATTTATTTATATGAGGGTTTATCTAAAATTTTCCATTATTTTTATAAAATATGTTTATAAAGTAAATATTTAGTTATTTTAATTTATGTGCACAATAAAAACTTTCAAAATAATAAATTTTTATTCATTTATATTTATAATTTATAACCTAAACATTTACATTTTCTCTTATAAATATAATGCTATTTAAAATAAATATTAATATGATAGATGGCGCTAAATAATTTATATATTAAAGTTATAATTTAACATAACTTAAATTGTTCAAATTGTGTTAATATTAGGTAAATCTAGTTAAGAATCACTCCCAATTTCAGTAGGACGAATTTCTAATAATTAAAAAAGAATGTGATATTTCTCACTTTAAAAAAAACGATCAACACTTGGTATTTCTCACTTTTAAAACCGTTCAACACTTAATTTAGCTGCTTAATTCAACTCCCTTTTTTATATCTTTCAACGCAATTTTCTTATTTTAAAATATCTTACTTCAACTCATTTTCTTTTAATTTACTTCAACACTTTGTACTTTAGATAATAATTTTCTTATTTAAAAAAAAATCTTACTTCAACTCCTTGTCTTTTAATTTTCTTCAACTCTTTATCTTTTCAATAATAATAATTTTTTTTACAACCACCTTTTTTTTTTAATCCTTTATGAATTTTTATTTTTCAAAAAAATATAATGATACAAAAAAAATATTTTTCTAACAACTTTAAAAAAAAACAATAATAATAATAAAACAATATTATATTTTTTAATCAAAAAAAATAATATATAAAAAAAAAATAAATTAAGAAATTTCATCATCCGATTCAAGAATAGTTTTTAGACGTTTTATGTTGATATTCAATTTATTTTTTATAATTTTTTCCTGTTTTTCGTTCTTGTCTAATTTTTGGTTCAATTTGTGTCTTCTTTTTAAATTTATATTTTTAAATTTTTTAAATTCTTCTTTGACTTGCTTGCATGCCGGCCCGCAAAAATTTTTTTTTAGCAATTTTCATATTTCTCCCACAATTTTTATATTACTCCCACAAAATACCGAATTTCTCCCACAATTTGAAAATTTTGACCTTCCCATAATGTAAAAAGTGTTTAAAAGCGGAGATAGTACTAAAATTTATTTTATTAATTATTTTCCGTAAATCGAAATGTTAAATTCATTTAGTCATTTTAAACGATTTGCTTGTGAATCAGCCCAATTTTAGATGAACTTTTCATTTAGGTATATTTCATTTTAAAAGATCAAATGTGCTAAATGAATGAAAATATATAAGTAGCATTGCATAAATGAGAAGTTCAAAATATATAATTTTTTAATGAAATAGAAGGTTTTAGAACAATCGAAATATAGGTATTAAATTTTTATATGTCGTTAATTTTCGTTTGTTCTTTCAAATTACAAATTATACCATTTTTTTAAAAATGGATATAATTTATTGGGATAACGTTTATTTAAGTTGGTTTGTAAAATTTGAAAATTCGAAAATTCTAGAATTATTTTAAAATGGTTAAATATAGACATTTTTTTAAAAAAAATTTATATATAAATTAATTTCTTTAAATTTAAAAAATTTAAATAATTATTTTTACTTCTAAATGTACTCTAAAAAAAATCTTTTATTAATTGAACAAATTATAAAGCTATAATTATAATATATATTTTAAAAGAAAAAATAATGGTATTGTAAATCAAGTAAACATGGAATGTTCAAAATTTGACGGAAAATGCATGATCTGTTTGGAATAATTTAGACCACAAATCACTCAAGTATTAATTTAATTTATTTTAAATCAAATATTTTAAGAGTTTAACTTCCTTTTACTTAATGATTTATAATAAGATAAAAGTATTTAAAAAAATTAAATTATGATATTTGGATTCCTTATTAGCTTTTGAAATATTGAATTAGAGTTAGATAAACTTTTATTGATATTTTCCTTATAATTTTATATAAAAAATAATTTCAAAATTAGAAATAATCTTGGCTGTTAACATTATCACATTTTTAACGACTTATTTTTTTGCCATAAAATTCACATAGCCAAAAATTATAGATACATTGATAGCCAAATCACTCATCTAGGAAATAAAAAACTTTCTACTTAAAACACTTTAGGAGCTGTGGTTAAGTAAGTGAAGTTTATCTTTTTTTTTTTACCATTTTGAAATAAAATTGAACATAACTGTATTGTTTAAAAATCTATTCATTATTATTTAACTATAAACTAATTTATACAGTACAAGGTTGTAAAAAATTATATATAATTAAAAACGTTTTTATGGTAAAACTATGAAAATTTTTCAAAAGATAAAAATAGGTAATAAATTAAGGCATAAAAAATACCGCCTCACACCAAATTTTAGGCTTACGCTCAAAGTTTAAAAAATTTATCCTTGTTAACATTGTCATCTCGTCGCCTTTTTACCCTGTCTTCCTACCTTATATTTTCTTGCTTATTTAAATACATATCATGATTATTAAATAAAAATATATTATTTTATATAAGGAAAAGGTGCTTTAAAATCTTGTAATCATAGTATTCAAAATGTAAATGAAATTTTTGTGAAGAAAATTATGTTTATGGGTATTACGATGAAGAAGATCTATGTTTGCCAAGTAACATATTATTTTAACATTTTTATCTATATTTTGTGCGTAAAAATGATTTTATTTTTAAAGACAAGGTTAAGATATTTAATATGAATTATTTTTTATTGTTAATTGCTATTAATAAAATTTAAAAATCAATCGATTAGATCGATGTCAATACGTGCCCCGTTTTAAAGATTTTTATAAAATAATAAATTTTAAAAATCAACTTCACATTTTTGTAGCATTTTAACTTTTTAAATATATTTTATTCATTTAATAAATAAATATCTTTATTTTAAATAATTTTAAATTTGATTGCTATTTTAAAATTATAATATAAAAAAAAATATTATGTTTTGCGGCAAATATAAAAATATGTAATACTGCACTAAATAATACACTTATTTGGTAAATTACACAAGGTGCAATAAGAGACATTATACATCCCCATAAATTAATAACTCGACTATTTCCTTCTCCTTCTGGCAACATCCCACCCCACTCCTTCTATCTTCACCTACCCCTTATTTGTAAAATATACCACCGACTTCTTCATCAGCATTTCATCTAGACTTGAACCAACCGGAATTTTTAGAACCGATGGAAAACGTCCGGATGGGTCTTTGATTCCTTGGTCAAGGGGTCAACTCCTTGTTTGGACCTGCATTGACCCAAATGCATCATCGAACTACAACGTCTATTATCTCGCCCTCGCAGAATTTCAAAAAATCACCAACTTAAGTTTTTTCTTATTCACACCCAACGCCTACTCTATTCTCACCACCTTCGTAACAAAGCTCGGTGTTTTTTAAAAAAAATTAGACAAAAGGATTCGTGAAAATCCCGATCAGCCTAAATCCCTTTTCTACGACAAAGACTTGCTACCGCCATTATGGTCTAACTCTACAAGTTTTAACTCTTCCTACCTATACCTTCTCTCTTCCCTTCTCATTCCTAGCTTCCTTAAAATATAATTTTTGGTTATTTTACTCGATTTGTGCAAAATTTATAGAAAAAAATGATTCAGATGTTTTAAACAATTATACCACACAGTAATATAAATTCTTATTTTGTTTCAATAATTACTCTACAATGATTTAAGTTTATAATACTTTTTATCGCAAATTTTCAAATTGTGGGAGAAATTCGGTATTTTGTGGGAGTAATATAAAAATTGTCGGAGAAATATGAAAATTGCTATAGCCAACTATTTTTCAAAATAAAATAGCCAACTATTTTTCAAAATCAAATAGCCAACTATTTTTCAAAATAAAATATCCCTTTTTCAAAATAAAATAGGTAACTATTTTCCAAAATAAAATACGCAACTATTTTTCAAAATAGGTAATTATAGTACGACACAAAATTTCTTAAAAACTATCTTTATTATTAAAATAACATATTGATTTATTATAATATATTAATTTTGTTTAAAAATAATAACCAACGATCTTTTTTAAATACAAAAGAATGTAAAAAAGATAAAATTTTATAAAAAAATTGTAATTTTACAATGTAAAAAAATATATTTTATGCTAATGTATAATAAGATTTTATAAAAAACAAACAATTTTAAATTTACAATGTAAAAAATAATTATAATCAGTGCGGGGAAGTTGTTCTACAGTATTTAGTTAATACAATGGGGGAAGGAATATGATATTTTGAGGCATCAAAAATCTTCAAAGCATAAATCAGTACAGGGCAGTCTATCAACATCTATTGCAAAACAAAAATATTCTTCAAAAATAAGAAATAATACAGATGCAACTACAGTTGCGGAAATGGTAAATACCTATCATGCCGTACAACATTCAGAGAGCTACTTAACATCACAATGTTGGTAGAATCTTTCCCCATAATATTTAACGACTAATATAAATGAAAAGTATACTTTGTAGAACACAAATGAGCAAGGCTATCATCAATGTTTTAGGATATAAATCCAGAAGGTCAATTCTTGACGATTTGAAAGATGTGCAAACATATGCAATTCTAGCAGATGCATCTAATAAGGAGATATCAAAAAATTTCCCTTGATCCTCCCCTATTTCAACAAAATTAATGTCATTTCAATAAAATTAAAAAAAATTTTCTCCAAAGAAATATCCAAAGACATAGCTAACCATATATAATGGTAAATATGGCAGATTTGGCATTACCAATGAATTGCATGGCAGCTTTCTGATCTGATAATTCCTCAGTGAATTTGGCAAAACCAGGGTGTATTTACAGAATTGAGTCAGCATAATGTTGGTTGACAGGTTCCTCCTAATACGCGCCATCGTAGAATTTTAAAATTTTACAAACCTTTAAAAAATAAATAGATTATAAAAGCTGTCCTAATATTTTGAAAAAAATTTTCAAAAATAAATGGCAGAAGTATATTTAGGAATTTTACATATAGGAAATCTACTATTTGCTGTTAATATGCAGTTGCAATCAGAAGAATATAATTTAATAAAGGTTCACTAAATTATGCTGCAGAAATAGCAAAGTAAGAATATTATTAATAAGATTTAATATGATGTCATGTTTGAGGAGATTGTAATGCTTCTTTATTTTTATGATTTGCCAAAATATTCAAAATATTAATTTTACAATGTAAAAAATAAATTTATTTGATTTTATAGCAAATGTACAAATAAGATTTTATAAAATATAGAAAGTCAAATAGTTAGAGTTAATTATATTTTATTTGAGATTTAAATAATGGAACTAAACGTTTACCGTCGTTATTAAGATATTTATAAAATTCCTGGCATGACATTTTATAATTTTGTTTAACCATTAACTTGGCCTCTAATGTTGTTAAAGCAATTCGATTTCTCTCCTTTCTCCAGGCAGTCCTCATCAGGCTAAAAATGCGCTCCGATGAGGCATTAGAATGAGGTAAGGAGAAAACATACTCGCAAATTTTTTCCAAGCATGGGGATTTATCGTTATTACGAAAAAATTACACCCATTTATCCTCTGCTTTTAGACCATCTAACTTTAAGTATTCTGGCGAATCATAAAAAATGGGAAAAATTACAATCTCTTCAAACAAGGCTTCAATGTCTATCGGTAATTTTAATATATTTATTAAATTAAAAACCATCAAATGATGGTTTCTGTTCCAAGGTCATAATATTTATACATTTGTAAATAGAGTTATTAAAATCAAATCTTGATTGTAAATATTCCAAGATTGTCTTAATAAAAATATTTGCTTCATTTTAAAATACGTTAATTATAGTAATATTTGAACATTTTAATATGATATATTTAGCAATAGCGCCATAAAATTTATTATCTATTTTTAACTGTAGAGATGAACAGAGCTGTAGCATGATTTTGTGAATCTTTATCAATAAAGAATCTTCTGATTGCAACTGAATATTAACTACATGAAGTAGATTTCCTACATGTGAAACTAATCCCAAATATGCTTCTGACATTTCATTCTCGAAAAAATTTATCAAAATTTTAGGACAGCTTTTAAAATCTTCATTTAAGAAGTATTTCTTTAAGGGTTCGTAAAATTTTAAAATTCTCTCGATGGCAGGTATTAATGATAACCACCTGATAGGTACATATCGCAACAACTCACACCATTCCAAATCAGACCACTCCACCAATTCTTTTAATTCAGTGACTCTTTTAGTTGATGAACTAAATTCGTTAAAACATTTCATCACAATTACTTCGACATATACAGATAGTACATTCATTGCCTACTTGCAAGAATTATGCAGTATATGGCATATACAGCTAATTGGTATTAATTCTTTATTGTGCTACCTCAATTCGGTAAATACACTTTGATTTTTGCCAAAATTCACAGAGGCATTATCAGCGCAGAAAGCTGACATGCAACTCATTGATAACCCTGAATCAGCTATATTTACCATTATGTGGTTAGCTATATCGTTGGATTTTTCACTATCGGATGAAAAAAATTTCAATAGTTTTATAGAAATGCCTTTATTCTTGTTGAAATAGCGAGGGATCAGGGGAAATGTTTTAATATTTCCCTTATTTGATGCATCTGTTAAAATAGCATATGGATGTCCTTCTTTCAAATCGTCTAGAATTGATCTCTTTAACATACCCATTTAAATCATTCTAAAAGTTGGCTGTGGAAAGGGCTAATTCTAAAATTTAGCTAATGCTTTATTATTTGCTTGAGTGTTTAGTATAAAAGAAAAATTATTAGGAGCAATATTTTGGGCAACCTTACATTTAAAAAGCCATTGAAATAATTTATTCTGAAAATTTTATCAATGTTTAGTGCTTAATAATATATTATTTTAATTTTACAGTAAGATAAAATTATTAGCAAAATAGAACATTTTATTACTTAAATCTGTTTGGTATATGGCTTAAAGAGTAAAAAAAATATTGGTAGGCATTTAATATAACACTTTGAGAATTATATATTAAAAAATTTACCTTGACATTAAAATAATTTGGGATATTCAAGTTTTTGGGGAATATATAAGTTATTATCCACTTCTAATTTCTATTCTAACTCAAAAATTTTGAAAATGTCGAGTGGAGCACTCCAATTCTAGATAGACCGACGATATAAAATATATTAAGTAATTTTATAAAAAATATATTATATATTTATAATTATACTTATTGCTTTAAATCTTTATCTTTATTACGGTAAGGTTACGGAAAGGAAAAATAATAATCTTTAAAAAACTAGACATATTTTTTTAAAAAAATATTTAAAATTTATTTTAAAAATATAAAAATAATCAAATACTGTCTCTCAAAATTATTATTTATATATTAAAAACATTAAGCTAAAAAAAAAATTGTAGGAGAAATTAAAAAATTGTGGGAGATTTCTAATTGTGGGAGTGAGATGTCTGTGGGTAAACTAAAAAATTGTGGGATTCTCCCACTGATGGGGGGAGACATGGCAACCCTTCGTATAAATTTTTATAAAAAATATTACAATCTTAGGTCCGGTCCGTATATATTAATAGAAAATATTTTTAGGCTCGGCCCGTATATATATAAAAAAAAAT